TTACCTTTTTTTGTATCCTAAACTTTAGTTGTGGATTATGGTGTTACCAGAATGTACTAAAAGAGTATACTGTAAATGAAAACTTGAATATATTTGGATTTATATGTAGCTGCATTTTCATTGTTCCCTTTGTTTTATTTCACATGCATCTTTTGTATACTTGAGGAAAAATTCATCCATTTTTCATAGTTGTCACAGGTTTGTTAGAGATGTTATGATAGAATTAATAGTATTCATTTAAATAAATGTAAAAATGGTGTTCTCTGTGAATTAGACAGGAAGCAAGATGAATAATCTGATTGTAGCCACATCTACGACAATGTCACACTGAACAACTAACACCTGTGATGATAATAGGAATAAATAAAATAAACTAAAATAAATAAAACTTCCAAAGTAACTATTATTTAGTTTTAAGCTATTATTTTCTCAGCATAGATAATTGATTTAGCATTTGTGATGGGGTTATTTATCCCACCTCATTTTTCTTGTTTGCTTATGACAGAATCAAGGACCTGCTAGTCCATGTTTTGTCAAAACCTCACCATGATCTGAGGCAGTTGCAAAGTATAGAAGATTATAAGATTTCAGTAATTCTGAGAGTGACTACTGTGCATTCATGAAAAATATTAATGAATTACAAGTAACTCAATACACCTATCTTAATATCTCATAAATATATACAAAATTACTCATAATTTCAATCTCTCTCTCTCGNACTCGTCTCATACCCTGACCTTTGCCCCCTCCCCTCTCAAATACCTCAATCTTCAACCTCCCTTCTCACTCTTCTCTCACCCTCCTCTTCCCTCGCCTTTCCTCTTTACCCTCTTGCCTCTCCATTCACTTCTCTTCCTTTGTCTTCTCCAACACATCACGCGTCCTCGACTACCTCACCTCTCTCTACTCTCGTCCTTCTTTTCCAACCCCAATCTCCTGGGTCCACCCCATACTACTATCCTTACAAGCACTGTTCTCCTATCCCCTCAGCTCTCCTCCCAAAGCGCCAGAGCAACTTAGTGAAACAAGAGGGCAACCGCAAAACTCCACCTACAGCTGTTCTTCTTCTGGTCTCTCCCTCTTTATTATTATTATTATTGGAGCCTAGTTTGTTAATTCCTTTTTCAGTTTTTTTTTTTATCCCATTTGGATTTTTTAATTACTATTGATTTTTGTTTAATTGTATTGTTTTTTTTTATCTATTTCGTTTATAATATTTTTAGATGATTTTTTATTGGCCCATTGCACATGTACATTGATTTTTTCTCTTCTCATTTTTATTCCCCAATTTGTGTGTTTGTTAATGCAAATAGAAGATAAGTGATGAATAACTTTATGGAATTTATAACAACATATAAAATGAATGAGTAATGATGATGGGGGCAAAAACTGAAAAGGAGAATACACAAGGAGGCAAATGCACTGTAATTATGAGTACTCAAAGCACCATACGATACACGATACTCATCTTGACAATAAGAAATAACAGTAACTGTAATAGAGACTAATAGTAATTTTAATATCAACGATAAGGAGGGTGATATTAATTTTAACAGATTTTTTTATTTTTTTTTTTTTTTTTGTCTCGCCTTCCTTAACCCATTTTCTCTAATCAATTTATGAATTTGCTTCTTCCGTTTTTTTTTAGACGCCACCTAGTAGATGCCCCCCTTTAAGTCATACACAAATCCCTGGCCCAATTTTGTTCCAATTGCTCAAAGGACATGAAAGTTCAGAGTGCGCAGAAAAGACTTCCGAAGGTAGAAATGGTCCTCGGAAATGCGTGATCGACCGACAAGAGCATAAGGCTAATTCTCCTCTGTGCGCATACAATCCAGAGGGTAGGAAGATGAGCAGTCAAAGAAGCAGGCAGCCACCCCACCCCCACAGAAGTCCCTCCCAGCCTTGGCGATGTGGCGGAATTCCCACCTGCAGAGGTCCTGTGATGGCTCCCACATAAGACAAGGCACCGGCCACAGTACCAGCACCAACAGGAGCAACAGCCCCATCAACTCAAGCACCAGTACCAGCTTCGGCACCAGCTGCAGCTCCAACCCGAGACCATCTGCTGCACAGCTTCTGCACCAGCATCATCCTCAGCTCAGCCCTCACTGAAGCAGGACGAACAAGAGACCAACGTAGAAATAAAAGATCTGCTACAAATGCTGCTTCGGCAAATGAAGCAGATAATGTTTATAATACAACAGAGGGTTCAGCAATCTCAATTCCAGGAGAGGTTATACGCGCTCCTCCTCGATCAACAACACACACACAAACCTGTAGTGGGCCTTGGAAATGGTCAGATAATCAATGTCTCCAAATAATGTCTTGATATGTATTGCACTTAACGATTACATCAACTATATTATAAACTGGGCTTGTCTTTGACATGATTAGTGATATAAAAGGTTTTCTTTCACCATCTAGATGATATACTAATAATACAGTACGGATGGCACAGCCCTAATGCTTGACTGATAGTCCTCCACAGACAGTCTGGATAGATGCTTTTGTCTCTTATCTTTTCGCAGGGCATGTACACTGTTCTGTAAATAAATGTTATCAAATCAATTAAATCTCTAACGTGCTACCTCTGTAAGTTGAATAACAGATTATGATTTTTTTTTTCTCTCCCTCTCGAAGTTTATTCATTATTTGCGTTTTATCGTTAAGCTGTTGTATTTTGAATTTAGTGCAAAAACATTATTCGATGGAATTCGGTGAGGAGTTCGCACTGATAATTATTATTTATAAAACCTGGATTACACATGTTACAATTACAACTGCTTGTTTATATTTTTGTTTTCAAAATTATATCTTCATACAAGTCCTGATTTAGCGATTTTTTATCCTAAAATATATTCCCTATTACTGAGGACAGTAGTAAAAAAGTTCATTACATGTGATGTATGACTATTTTAAATAGTAGTTCTCACTCTTTCTCTCTCCCGTTTTGTATATCATGCTACTGGCCCATCTACGTTTTTAGAGCAATATTTAGACATCATGGATATGTAAATAACGAGAGAATGAGAGAGATAATAGGATACGAGAGAAACTGGCAAACAGACAGAAAACTCAGAGAGAAAGAGAGAGAGAGAGAAAGAGAAAGATTCTGAGAGAGAGAGAGGGAGATACAGAGATAGATATATAGACAGAGTTAGATATCAAAGTTAGATATCAAATTACTATTTTCTCTTTCTCTCCAATTTTATCAATTACTTACGTTTAAATAGAATAGCTTTGTGATCATTTTTGAACCTTTGTATAAACCTTGTTGGATGGATCTCTGTGAAGTCATATTAATATTCATAATTTTCTAAAAAGCCAATGTCACATATTTTGATTTTTATTATTTGTAAATATTCACAATACTAATATTTTTTTTTTTTTTTATAATATAACTATGTGAATTTTTATTTTACTATTCATTGCTCTTGAATTAATCATTATTTCAAAATAAGATTACTATTAGGAACTTCATTTGTATTTTATTGTCCTCTCTTATCAAATTATTATCCTCCAAACGATTATTCTCTCTCTCTCTCTCTCTCTCGAATATTTCTTTCCTTTTTTCTGTATAAGACTATACCAATTTTTATTTTACTATTTATTTCATGGAGTTCTTGTTCGATGGATCTGCTGGACCTACATGTGATCACATTACTAGTCATGTTATGAAACTATATGTAACACTTTCATAAATTAGTCGTAATCATAAACAAAAAATATCAAAATTTTATTAACGATGTAATTTGATTGACTAATAATGCATTTCATATATTTATTTCATGGTACTGAGGATTTTGGGGGTATAAATTTCAATGCATGTAATTTAATTATCATATCTTAATATGATTAATAATCGGAATTTCATTTATATTTCATTATCCGCTTATATATATATATATATATATATAATATATATATATATATATATATATATATATATATATTATAGATAGATAGATAGAAGAGAGAGATATTACACCTTGTTGGATGGATCTCTGTGAAGTCATATTAATTTTTATCATTATCTAAAAAGTCGATGTCACATATTCCGATTTTGATTATTTGTAAATATTCACAATATTATCAAAACATTTCTTTTATAATATGACTGTGAGAATGTTTATTTTACTATTTATTTCATGGTAATGAGAACTTTGTGTTATAAAAGTACATTGCTCTTGATTTAATCATTATTTCAAAATAAGATTACTAATCGGAACTTTATTTGTATTTTATTGTCCTCTCTCTCTTATCAATTATTCTCTAAATGATTATTCTCTCTCTCTCTCTCTCTCGAACGTTATTATGCGTTTAAATATTATAGTATTACAATTATTTTTTCCACGTTTCAATATAAGACTTTACTAATTGTTTATTCTATTTATTCCAAGGTGCTGACATCTTGTTCGAAGAATCTACGTGAATTCACATTAATGCTTATCATTTTTAGAAACTGGATGAGACGCGCGCAAATCATTCGTAAATATTAATGAAATTGTTCCAAAATTTAATATATGAGGGGAAAAAATATAACTCCATATTTGCTTCATATATTTATATCATGGTACTGAGGACTTTGGAGTATAAAAGTTCAATGCATATAATTTAATGATCATACCTTAATAAGATTAATAATCGGAACGCTTTTGATATTTCGTTGTCCTCATATATATATATATATATATATATATATATATATATATATATATATATATATATATATATATATATATATATATATATATATATTATATATGTGTGTGTGTGTGTGTGTGTGTGTGTGTTGTGTGTGTGTGTGTGTGTGTGTGTGCACGCACACACATATATGTATGTATATATATATATATATATATATATATATATATGTATATATGTATAATATATATATATATATATATGTATGTGTGTGTGTGTGTGGTGTGTGTGTGTGTGGTATATATGTATACATATACACACACACACACCATACACACATCAACATATATATA